TAATTATTCCAGAATCAGACAGTGGCCCTTCTGGCCCGACCACTTGCTTTTATAATATTCGTCATAACCGTAGTTCATTGTAATTTCACAATACTTTCTTTATACTTTTCCATTTGAAAACCAAATCGTTGTTGTATATACTATTCACACGTTGATTCACCCAAGGATCAAATCATGGATTCAACAGAAAACTATAATGTGGGGTCAAATTTGGTTTAAATATGAAGCTTATCGTAAGTATGGATCCTTGGTTTCAGTATTTCATTTCATCTTGTGGATCCCATACCTGCTATTGACAGGTGTTGTGTACTTGTCAATGATCTGTGCCATAATTTGCAAAATGGTTGATTGGTGATATGAAAATCATTTTTATGGTTATTCATGTATCATGTGCATACAGTTACATTAAAGTGACTGATTGCCTAAAGATGTGTTACCATATCATTATTTATCAAGTTTTAAGTGGATACCATTTCAAAATATAAATCTACGTTTCAGTAAAGTTATGAATTTTCGTGATCCTTAGCAAAGTGTGAGTAGTATATATAGATTAGACTCTGGCCAATGACTATAGAATAGAAATCATTACAAGAAAAAGTCGTTTCGGTTACACATTGCTGTGAACATATACAGTAGGACACCGCAAAACCTCGAAGTCTTCAGAAATAAGCCGTCGTAAATGATCTGTTATAATGGAGCATAATATACATGACAATATCGGTATCGTGAAGATAGGATGAAGGATGTATCGAGATACGAAAATTCGACATACCGAATACTGTAGTTACACTACAGGGGTACGTTCACCACCAGCTGGGTTACAGATATGTCGACACAATGCATATCTCGAACCAGGGTTAAGCAAAAATATATATCAGGTCCCGGCCACCGCAAGTGTGTGAAACGAGGTGACAATTTGAGCAGGAAAGGACGATTTTTTAATTTAAAATCAAAACTTACCCTTCTGTTGCTTGGGTTATGATGTATGTGAACACGTTCTGCACGTTATTTTCTGAAATTAATATATTCAGTTCATGGCCGACGTTAGAGGTAATCAGAGGTCGGTTGGGTAGCCTAGTGGTTAAAGCGTCCGCTCGTCACGCCGAAGACTCGGGTTCGATACCCAACAAGGGTACAATGAGTGAAGCCCGTTTCTGGTGTCCCCCGCCGTGATATTGCTGGAATATTGCTAAAAGCGGCGTAAAACCATAGTTACTCACTCAGAACATGTTAACTTGAACTAAAATGGAAATGCAGGCATCAGTCATTGATTTTTCATCATGTTGTTTGGTTATAGTAAAATTGACCGCTGTGAAATGAAACCATGCAGGGCATGGCGTCCAAAATGTACGATCGTTGTACAGACAACATCTGGAGACACTTCACGTTCGATCATACAGTGTATCATATCGCTATGTCCCGGCTAATGCCTGGTAGCATTTCGTTTGTATGTGCACACACACGTCGCCATATATACAACTGCGCACCAGGCGAATGTATATAGCCGCTTTATTCCAGCAGTATCACGTCGGTGATACAGAAACTGGCTTCACACAGTGTACCCGGGTATACTGGTGTATTTGGAATCGACAAGCGAACGCTTTAAGCACTAATCACGGTTTTTAACCGCTTTAAGGATTTGAAGTTGCCGCACAAGTATTGACATCGTGAGCAACGATCGACACCATCGGGGTACAATGGCACGTCATCAACCACGTCATCCAGTCGGTCCACACTCGACCCCGCTGTCATATTGCTGAAATAGTGCTAACTCACTCAGGGCGTCTAAACGCTGCATTCTGTATGTGATACATCCCGCAATTACAGATCAACCTTAACACTAATTGTTAAAAACAATTAAACAAACATAGTAACGGGATCGGGTGTTCAGGCTCCTGACTTGGTTGACACATGTCATCGGTTCCCAATTGCGCAGATCGATGCTCATGCTGGTGATCACTGGATTGTCTGGTCCAGACTCGATTATTTACAGACCGCCGCCATATAGCTGGAATATTGCTGAGTGCGGCGTAAAACTAAACTCACTCACTCACTCACTGTCTCCATGAGACTTACCAAGGAAGCAATAGGGACAAAAACATAGTTAACTCGTTTACCGTTACATAGCCCATGGATGTCTAGTTATTCAATCCTTCAAAGAGGCAAGTCTAGATAAGCGGACAGAACCCCAGCCTGTTATTCCATTTTTTTAATAGAAAGTATCATTTAAACTATTAATTTTTACCTAAGAGATTTGTGCAAGTCTAACCGTTACACACAGAACCATAGATGTACAATTAGCCTTGGTTTAGGCTACTCGTATTTTATTCTGTGTTTCTTGTCTCAAGTTCGGCATGAACTTTCGTCCCTTCCTGAAATATATAGGTTTTTTTACTCAATTCTACTGTGGACATTAATGCCACGACGTTAATAGAAAACTCTACCCGTGCATACTTTAGTATTATTTATTTTATATTATTTTCACCCACCCGTTATCTTCCAGGTTGAGGCGGGATATGAGAAACACATTTAAAACATAGGATGGCCTTACGTTGCTGTAATGGAAAAAACATTTTGGGTCGTACAGTGCCTTTAAGACTAGAAAGGCAGTGTTGCAGAGTACATCGATCGGTAATTACTGGAGTGACACTACCGTTTGCTGTCACTCCTTGCACTGAAAGACATGGTGGGACACTCCCTCTTCCTCAGTGAAGTGCAGTCTGTGATAACTCAGCCGGGCCTGGGAAACTGGGTGTGAATATCTCCATACATTTTGGTTCTGTGTTGTATAACAGCCTGTCTGTGTTGTCTAATCTGGTGTGTACAAAATGAGATTTTATTAAAAATGTCGAAAATATTAGTGAAATAAGGACTTATTTTATATATTCTGCATGTCGATGTTATGATATAAATATATAAACAAAGTATTATTAATAATTCAAAAGTGTACGCAAGCTGATATAGTTCTTTTGAGGATGATATGTAATTGGACACAGCGGGTGTTATGCGTCAACCAGTGCAGCCTCCCCTATCCCCTCCTCCCCCCCCACACACACACGTCCTTTACGCCTGACACACATGTACCAAACAAATACACTGGAAAACACACACACACACACACACACACACACACACTCACTCACTCTAACCACCTTGTAGTGTATCCGCTAGTTAACCTTTATTAATAGTACATTCATAAATTCCGTTACTTTTGCGTTAGAGTATATATGCATATAAGTGTATAGTTTAAATATTTATTATGCGAGATACTATCATATCTCGTTCAGCCATATTTATCGTAAAGTTGTCAATTATGACGCACGGAGAATGATTGTTTTAACTTTATTATATTGCATTAAAATCCACAAAATTAACAAAGTTTTTATTCCAGGTTGCAAGAAGTACTACTACGGCCCAAACTGCGTGAGAAGCTGTGGTCACTGTTACCGCGACGTCACCTGCGACCCGACGTCGGGTGTGTGCCACAACGGGTGCGTCCCCGGCTTCAGGGGGAGTAGGTGTGACCAGGGTATGTATATTGGGCGTGTATTCTGTCTGTCTGAACTACAGGTCTTTCCAAAGACAGGCCAACATCTATATCGCAACCCCCAATCTGCAGAATATAATATGGTCGGTCCATTTGTGTCGTTAGAAGCAACCAAGGTTTGGCTTTCGTACTGTGGGACAAAGCCTTAGTTTTTAGTGAACACGTTAGAGGTAACTGACCTGGTCATTGATCTGCCTATGAGGTATAGTGGCACACTGAATCAGCACGGTTCTTTCTAATGATAATGAGAATATTTATAACGCACCTTTGCCAGGCTTACATCCTGCTTAAAGCTCTGATCATTATTACACTTGCACAAGTCTCTAAGGTAAAAATTCATAGTTTAAATGATAATTTCTAAAAAATAATAAATAACAGAGTGGGGTCCTTACTGTCTGCTTATCCAGACTTGCCTCTTTGAAAGATAGAAATAATATTGATCCATGGGCTCAGCATTCAGTACAGCCTTGGAGCAAGGCTATATTACCCCGGATAACCCATGCTGCCTGACGCTAGAAGGTTTATAGTCTCACGACTTATTTCACCGTGTACCCATTTTCTGCTGGGTACCCATTTTCTGCTGGGTGAACAGATACAATTTTGAACAAACTCACATGTCTAAGGTGAGACCACATGTATCACATGTGCTTTGTAGTAAGGCAGGACTGAAGTCCAAGAAACTCTCAGGAGTCAAGCTGTCACACACGGTCACCCATCCAAGGACTCTCCGTGCCCAACGTTGCTTAACTTCAACTGATTTGTGGACCTGAGTTCATGCACAGGACCACACACCACCACATACTGAGAGCTTAGAGTGAGTGAGTTTAGTTTTACGCCGCACTCAGCAATCTCCCAGCTATATGGCGGCGGTCTGTAAATAATCGAGTCTGGACCACACAATCCAGTGATCAACAGCATGAGCATCGATCTGCGCAACTGGGAACCGAAGACATGTGTCAACAAAGTCAGCGAAACTGACCACCCGATCCCGTTAGTCGCCTCTTACGACAAGCATAGTCGCCTTTTATGGCAAGCACATGGGTTGCTGAATACCTATTCTACCCCGGATCTTCACGGGTCGAGAGCTTAGAAGTCATTGTGACCACCCTATACCCGGCACTGTCTTTGGACAAGTATAGGAATTGAGACAATGCTATGTCATAACGGCATGCCAATAGTTACTGAACAGTGATCGGCATTTTGACCCACCTTTCATTGAACCATGTTATAGGATGCCTTTGGAGCTTCAATAGATATGTGGCTGCTTGTTGTCAAAATTGTATATTTTAACACTAAACGTTAGTCTAGATCGAGGACTATTGAAAAGGGATCTATGTCAGCCACAGACATACGTGCAATCAGCCTTGTCCCAACATACGTTATCAGTAAAAACATCATGAAATAGTGTCTCTCCCTGTAAACGGAAATACCACAAGAAAAACCAGCTACTTACAGTTGTCGAGTATGGATCATTTTCAAACAAGATATGTATCCAAAGGACCACATTCTAGAAATCCGTGACATAAATAGCTCCAGAGACGGAGCCCAGCTGTATGGTGAACATGACGCCAGCTGTTCCTGATATTTCACGTTGAAAATGACTTCTGGCGAGACGTCGATATACAGTATACTAGTCTCGCTTATCAACTTGACGTATCTATTGTTGCGTTGTTTAGCCGTACATTAGTTGTGAGATTACTGCATTGATTAGATATACCTCAGTTAAGTTGATCGCGGTTATTTATTGATAGAGTAAAATAGAACCTGAAATGCAATGCAACGTAATAAAACAAAATGACTGCCAGAAAGAGAAACACAAGACATACAAGTATAAGTGAGGTGAGGTGAGGTGAGGGAGGTGAGGTGAGGTGAGGTGAGGTGAGGTGAGGTGAAATTGGGTTTAACGTCGTGCTTGAGAATATTTCGCTCATATGACGACGTGCATGCGTGTGTATGTGTATGTGCGGCTGCTTGTACTAGCCCAGACTTATGCTGGTTTTATAGTGCTAGCTCACTGAGATATCATGCCGCAGTGAAGCATGAATATCTCACTCAGACACATCATACTGACTCCGAGCCGACCAGTCCTTGTTGTACCCATTAATGCCGAGCGCCAGATAGGGACCAACAAGTACCATATTTTAACGTCTTTTGGTATGACGCGGTCGGGGATCGAACCCGCGACCTTCCGCTCTCCGGGCGGACGCTCTAACCACTACACCACGGAGGCGGCCTATTATCATTTAAGTAGAAAATATTTTCATTTAAGTAGAACATATTTTGATCTAAGTAGAAGATACTTTCATTTACGTAGAAGATACATTCGTTCAAGTAAAAGATATTTTTAGTTAAGTAGAAGGTATTTTCATTTAAGTAGAACATATTTTCATCTGAGTAGAAGATACTTTTATTTACGTAGAAGATACATTCGTTTAAGTCGAAGATATTTTCATTTAAGTTGAAGATATTTTTATCTAAGTAGAACATATTTGCATCTTAGTAGAAGGTGCTCTCATCTACATAGAGATACATTCATCGATGTAGAAGATGCTTCCATCTACGTAGAAGATACATTCATCTACGCCAAATATGCTCACATCTACGTAGAAGATACTTTCGTCTAAGTTGAAGATACTTTCATCTAAGTAGGAGTTATTTTCGTTTAAGTAGAAGATATTTTCATCAACGTGGAAAATGCGTTCATCTACGTTGACGATGCTTTCATCTGAAAGAGTTGTTATAATTGTTGTTGTTATGAGTCTGCAAAGATGTAAATTGATGAGTACAGTTAAAGATTTTTCCTGTTTTGTTGTTTATGATATATTTGTCGCTGTAAATTTCAGCATGCGAGCCGTATACGTTTGGTCGAGATTGTAAAGGAAAGTGTGGCTACTGCCGTCGTCGTCAAACGTGTAACGCCGTCACAGGTGTGTGTAGCGGAGGGTGCGAGCCAGGTTGGGAGGGACAAAGATGTGACCAGAGTGAGTGTACTACTACTGATACCAAATAAAGAAAAAATAAAATTGAAAACAGAAAGATAATCTGTGAACGCTCCCAGCATGGTAAAATTGCTTTCATAAATTCTGAAGCGTTCTTAGAATAAATAGCTATTAAAGCCCCCAAATGATCACTTTGATCGTTGTTCATGCTATCAGCCACTTGCCTGCACAGGCTACACGGTTTACAGGCCTCAATCTCTGATTCATTCCATACACCGTTGTCTCTTTACTCAACAGAGTGCCCCCCGGGAACCTATGGCATAGACTGCACACAGATTTGTGGGGGCTGTATCGGCCAGACCTCCTGTGACCACGAGACTGGGCACTGTCTTCAAGGGTGCGAGCCGGGGAGATTAGGGTTCAAATGTCTCCAGAGTAAGTCAGATGGAGAAAGAAACCTTTTTTAGGACTTGTCTTGTAGTTAGACGGGGTGTTGACTGCAGATCCGTGGGTAGTTAGACGGGGTGTTGACTGCAGATCCGTGGGTAGTTAGACAGGGTGTTGACTGCAGATTCGTGGGTAGATAGACGGGGTGTTGACTGCAGGTATGTGGGTAGTTAGACGGAGTGTTGACTGCAGGTATGTGGGTAGTTAGACGGGGTGTTGACTGCAGGTATGTGGGTAGATAGACGGGGTGTTGACTGCAGGTATGTGGGTAGTTAGACGGGGTGTTGACTGCAGGTATGTGGGTAGATAGACGGGGTGTTGACTGCAGGTATGTGGGTAGTTAGACAGGGTGTTGACTGCAGGTATGTGGGTAGATAGACGGGGTGCTGACTGCAGGTATGTGGGTAGTTAGACGGGGTGTTGACTGCAGGTATGTGGGTAGATAGACGGGGTGTTGACTGCAGGTATGTGGGTAGTTAGACAGGGTGTTGACTGCAGGTATGTGGGTAGTTAGACAGGGTGTTGACTGCAGGTATGTGGGTAGTTAGACGGGGTGTTGACTGCACGCCTGTGGGTAGATAGACGGGGTGTTGACTGCAGGTATGTGGGTAGTTAGACTGGGTGTTGACTGCAGTATGTGGGTAGTTACACGGGGTGTTGACTGCACGCCTGAGGGTAGTTTGACGGGGTGTTGACTGCAGGTATGTGGGTAGTTAGACGGGTTGTTGACTGCACGCCTGTGGGTAGATAGACGGGTGTTGACTGCAGGTCTTTGGGTAGTTAGACGGGGTGTTGACTGCAGGTATGTGGGTAGATAGACGGGGTGTTGACTGCAGGTATCTGGGTAGTTAGACAGGGTGTTGACTGCAGGTATGTGGGTAGTTAGACGGGGTGTTAACTGCAGGTATGTTGGCAGTTAGACGGGGTGTTGACTGCACGCCTGTGGGTAGATAGACGGGGTGTTGACCGCAGGTCTTTGGGGAGTTAGACGGAGTGTTGACTGCAGGTCTTTGGGTAGTTAGACGGAGTGTTGACTGCATGTGTGTGGGTAGACAGACGGGGTGTTGACTGCAGGTCTTTGGGTAGTTAGATGGCGTGTTGACTTCAGGTATGTGGGTAGTTAGACAGAGTGTTGACTGCAGGTCTTTGGGTAGTTAGATGGAGTGTTGACTGCATGCCTGTGGGTAGATAGACGGGGTGTTGACTGCACGCCTGTGGGTAGTTTAACGGAGTGTTGACTGCAAGTATGTGGGTAGTTAGACGGAGTGTTGACTGCAGGTCTGTGGGTAGATAGACGGGGTGTTGACTGCAGGTCTTTGGGTATATAGACGGAGTGCTGACTGCAGGTCTTTGGGTAGTTAGACAGAGTGTTGACTGCAGGTCTGTGGGTAGTTAGACGGGGTGTCGACTGCATGCCTGTGGGTAGATAGACGGAGTGTTGACTGCACGCCTGTGGGTAGTTTGACGGAGTGTTGACTGCAGGTATGTGGGTAGTTAGACGGAGTGTTGACTGCAGGTCTGTGGGTAGATAGACGGGGTGTTGACTGCAGGTCTGTGAGTAGTTAGACGGGTGTTGACTGCAGGTCTGTGGGTAGTTAGACAGGGCTGTGGGTAGAATAGACAGGTAGTGGCTGGACTCACGCCTGTGGGTAGTTAGATGGAGGTGCTGACTGCAGGTATTGGGTAGAATAGGCAGAGTGTTGACTGCAGGTCTGTGGGTAGTTAGAGGAGTGTTGACTGCAGGTCTGTGTGGGTAGTTAGACAGGGGTGTTGACTGACAGTGGTAGATAGACGGGGTGTTGACTGCAGGTTCAGAGTAGTTCGGAGGTCTTTGGGTAGTTAGACAGGGTGTTGACTGCAGGTCTCTAGTTAGACGGGTGGACTGCAGTTAGACAGGGTGTTGACTGGCAGGTCTGTGGGTAGTTAGATGGGGTGTTGACTGCAGGTAGACAGGGTGTTGACTGCAGGTCTGGGTAGTTTAGTTAGACCGGGTGTTGACTGCAGGTCTATGGGTAGATTACGGAGGGGGTGTTGGGTGCCTGTTGACTGCAGGTAGTTGTGGTAGTAGACTGGGGTGTTGAGCACTGTGGGGTAATTAGACAGGGTGTTGACTGCAGGTCTGTGGGTAGACAGGGTGTTGACTAGACCTGTGGGTAGAATAGACAGAGTGTGTTGACTGCATGGAGTGTTGACTGCAGGTGGGTAGACTGACTGGAGTGTTGACTAGGTACGGGTGTTGACTGCACGCCTGTGGGTAGTTAGACGGAGTGTTGACTGCAGGTCTGTGGGTAGATAGACGGGGTGTTGACTGCAGGTCTGTGGGTAGATAGACGGGTGTTGACTGCAGGTCTGTGGGTAGTTAGACGGGGTGTTGACTGCAGGTCTGTGGGTAGTTAGACAGGGTGTTGACTGCAGGTCTGTGGGTAGTTAGACGGGGTGTTGACTGCACGCCTGTGGGTAGTTAGACGGAGTGTTGACTGCAGGTGACTGCACGTCTGTGGGTAGATAGACGGGTGTTGACTGCAGGTCTGTGGGTAGTTAGACGGGGTGTTGACTGCAGGTCTGTGGGTAGTTAGACGGGGTGTTGACTGCAGGTCTGTGGGTAGTTAGACGGGTGTTGACTGCACGCCTGTGGGTAGATAGACGGAGTGTTGACTGCACGCCTGTGGGTAGTTGTATTGACTGCGGGTGTTGACAGGGTGTTGACTGCACGCCTGTGGGTAGTTAGACAGGGTGTTGACTGCACGCCTGTGGGTAGTTAGACGGGGTGTTGACTGCACGCCTGTGGGTAGATAGACGGAGTGTTGACTGTAGGTGTGTGGGTAGATAGACGGAGTGTTGACTGTAGGTCTATGGGTAGATAGACGGAGTGTTGACTGCATTCCTGTGGGTAGTTAGACAGGGTGTTGACTGCACGCCTGTGGGTAGTTAGACGGAGTGTTGACTGTCGGTCTATGGGTAGATAGACGGAGAGTTGACTGTAGGTCTGTGGGTAGTTAGACGGGGTGTTGACTGCATGCCTGTGGGTAGTTAGACTTACAGCCTGTCACTACTTACACGATGTGTTCACTACAGGTTGTCAACATGGACGATATGGGGAGAGCTGCGGTGGTGTTTGTGGGCGATGTCTGAAAGGAACATGCGACCACGTGACCGGGGAAT